TGCTTCCTTTCAATTGAAATAAGTTTCTTTAGTAACAAATGTTCATTATTTTTGTTTTTGTTTGTGAAATATAAACTCAGACAACTCTTTGGAGTGCGTAACGACTTTTTAGCTCAAAAAACGGAAAGGAACGGAAATGGAAATAAAAAGGCAGTTCACAGCACCAAATTTCCGTCCAAAATTAGTGGATTATCTACATTATTGCATTCAAGTTGTGTAAAATGTATGTAGAACAGAATGTTCGGAAACTATTGTTCCGGGCATCGCGAATTCTTTGGAGGAAGTTTCACACATAATGTCACAATTCTGCGCTTGACTGAATATGAACTGGCCTCAACTGGAGTTAAGCAAGAGGTAATCAAACTTCATTATGTACGTTCTAATGCTGTCTCTATGAAAGACAACTCATGACAAATCGGAGCGCATTGTGCGTCGAAATAGGTCTAACCTGGTTTCTTTGTACTGAAGAATTTCGCAATAGGCTACATATCGTCGTTTAGAGTATAAAACCGCGAATCGTCGTTCTGAAAAACCGCGCCAAAAATTGGCAAGCTCTTGGCTCAAGTCTTATCCATTCGTCCTGAAATATACTAGCCAGAAATGCGATTGCTTTGTAAAAAAGAGAACCATTTTGAAATATGAGTGTTTTTACTCTCTAGAAAATAATTTATGCAACCTCACATACGCGGTTTTGCATTTTGTTGTAAAGCGGTTTTGTACTTGTAAACGACGATATGTATTTTAGTAAGACAAGCCTTCGAAAAGTTAATCTCCAAATGCCTTAGAAAATAAATTTATTGTTTAACACTTGTTCGTTTATTTAAACATTAATGATTTCTTTGCGGACAAGAAAATGGCATAAAAGCTATTACATATGTACATATGTATGTATGTATGTATGTAAATGGCTGTAACTATGATTAGCGCATTAGATGCTACATAATGAATTTGACTAAATTTTTTTAAAACTAATGAATTTTTCTAAATTATGGCGCTTTTGAGTTTATATACAACGTTTACTTTCTCTTTTTCAGCTGGATTTTTTCAAATGGATGTGCTTCGATGTAAGCTAATGCTTTAAGGATGTAATCCGGAATTGGTGGTGGCGTTGGCAAATGATCACCCCTGGGCTGGTATCCATTTTCATTGGCTGTATAGGATAATTGTATGGGCTGTCCTTCAGGTGAGATGTATGAATAAGAGCCGGATGCATAGGAACTGCCAACGCCGCTCTGCTCAGCCTGAATCCTATTCGATGTTTCGTATGCATAGTTGTAGCTGCCGTCGGGTCGCAAGTCATTATCATACCTTAATATCGACGCTTGAACATCGGCAGGATTGCCGTCAGCGTTGGTGAGAGCAAATAAGGTGGTGGCAAGGATGAGCTGCGAGTGAGAGGTAAATTTAGAATATTAATTAAACTTGTAAGCAAAATATAGAAGAAGTTTTTTGAACTTACTACTTTAAACATTTTCTTTGCAAAATTGTGAATTTTTAAATGCGATTTTGTTCACTTATTTGTGGCTGCTTACGCTATGTATGGCGCTAATTTTGTGACTGATTTGAGATGCGCCTTAAAACATTTTTATATAGTATTTAGGAAAAGTAACCCCCTGGTGTGTATTTTAATCACAAGCTCAAATATTTTGACTGCTGCACCCACCAGCGTTCGAGCGCAAATCATTTATACAACACACATTATAAGCTTCTATTAATAGAAAAATGAAATATCGACAATCATATGCAAATACTTAATTTTAAGCTTAAACCGATTGATTATTAACAGTTTTTAGACTAAATTTTTTGTATAATCTAGTCTCACTTAAAGTGCTTATCAGTTCGCCAATTTTAATCTGACCGGGTTTTGTGAACTCTCAAAAGCTCGTTGCTCTACTGTTATTGCAGGTAGGTAGGTAAGATAAACAACAAGAAATACAGTAGTGTAAGATAGTGTATACTAAACTAAATGCAAATATGTACATATGTATATCGGATGATACGCATATAAACAGATAAATGTCAGATTATTTTAATTAATTTATCAAGTTTAACAACACAGGGCGCCATTGTCTCAGCAGAACACTCCTAAAATGTCAAGTTATAATCATAAAATATGTAAAAGATTTTTTAAATGATACTCTTAAATATACTAAATGCAGAGGTATGTACATTAGACTGCATCACCAAAAAAAGTTGCGGTTTTTGTCGCCGGGATTACAAAATTTATTATATTTTAAGACGTCCCCCAAAATATTTCGGAAAAATATTAAGATTTAAGCGAGCTGGACCGATTTGAAAAATGGAAAAATGAAGTTTTTTATTAATAAAAATAGTTTCTTAAAGAACTTTTTGAAAAAAGTCCCCTCCGATGACAAATTAGATTAAGCTTAAAAAACCTGCATAAAAATATTTAAACATTTTTTCAACGGAATCGTAAGAATAAGATTTTTGATGCTGTTTTTTTTACATTTTTCAAAGATTGGTTTACGAAAAACTTGAATAACTGGGCCAAAAATGTTCTGATTTAGACTTATGGGATCTCAGTAGAAAGGTATTTTCACACTGTTTTTATTTCTGGCCAAAAAAACGTCATTCGTGTCCCATCTTGTTTTTTCGAATACCAACACATCTTAATTCAACTTTGAATGACGTTCGTTCATCCTACCTTTCTCTTCCATCCTTTGAATGAGTTTATTAGCAAAGAAATAAAAAGGGTGTAAAAGTACCTTTCCAATGACACCTCTTAAGTCTAAATCGGAAGAGTTTAGGTTCAGTTATTCAAGTTTTTCTTATACCAATATTTGAAAAAAGTTAAAAAACAACATCAAAAATCCCATCATTACGATTCCGTTCAAAATTTTTTTTTATTTTTATTTTAAATATTTTTATACAAATATTTTAAGCTTAAACCGTTTTGTCATTTGAGGGGATTTTTTCAAAAAAACTCTTTAAGAAACTATTTTTATTCATAAAAAACTCCATTTTTGGAAGTATTTTCAAATCGGTCCAGCTCACTTAAATCTTATTATTTTTCCGAACTATTTTGGTGGACGTCTTAAAATATAATAAATTTTATAATTCCAATGGAAAAATAGTACCGATTTTTTTTTGTATGGGGAGTGATGCAGTCTAATTTACATAGGTATTTTGAAGTTGTACGTGCCAGATGTGTATCTTTTGCATTGAATATTTATTTTCTTGTTGCATTTACATATTAACTATGATTTTTTTAATTAGCAGCATTGTATTAATTATTTGCTATTGTTGAGAATGTCGTTGAACATATGAAATAATCAATATTTTGCGCCAAATACTAGTACAACGGCGTGAACAGAAATTATGATAACCAATTTATATGCTATATGAAAAGAAAAAACATACATTTGCACTTAGTTTAGATTCACTAGTGAAAAAGTGAAATGATAGGTATGCAACTTACGACTATATAATGGGTTTCTCTCCGATCTAGCATTATTATTCACCTCTACTAGGCTGCTGTTGGGAATCAGGTCGATGGCGCACAGTGTACGATTTGGGAGAGTCGATGGCCAAAATCGTAGAACTCTCGATAGAAATAAGATGACAAATGAAAAAATTTGGGTTCGAAAGCTAACATAATTGCCATTGAGGTTGTTCACGCTCGCCTGGTTATCAGCTTATGTGGTTATGTAGTTAAATATAACTCACTTTACTCAGTTTACAACAATAAAAAACTCTACACAATAATAATTTTTAAGCAGATAACCTGATAACCAGGAAAGCGTGAACAACCTCACTATAAATAATAGTATTCAACCACCCAAAAATTAGGTTGAAAAATGAATTTTTGAAAGAAAAAATGGCTACCTCCAAAAAAAAGATTTGTTTGCCGTTTTATGGACTTTTCTTGTAGATTTTCATTGGAGGACATCAAAATTACTGTCAAAATTAGACTAAAGAGTAGTATGTAGGCTTATTTTTTAATTGAAAATTGTGTAGTACGTTTTGGGATATTATTCCACGGTTATTTTACATCACAAATAATGCAATTGCATTACAACGCGATTCCAGACGGTTCGCACTTCTTCACTGTAAGGAGCCTAAAAGCATAAACAGACGGCAGCGTTGATCCGGATCACTCGGGAATTAACGGCAGTTGATCCGGATTAACCAATTTTAAAACTATAAAAACTCTCCTCATCTATAGAAAAATACCCTTCCAATGGTGTTCTTGGAATTGAAATCGGTTCGATACAATCACTAAATTAATATATAGATTTGAACAGAAAAGATTTATATACAATATTAATGCTGAGTGAATAATTTTGCATTTAATCGTAAGGACTTTTATTCGAGTTATATAGATTTCATTCAAAAGTGTCTATGTTGCGCTGGATAACGGAAGCTATTCACTTGATGACTAGGGGCGGCTACATGATGAAATTGTTGGTGACGAAGTTGCTGTTGTGGCCGAGATTGCTGTTGGGCTTGCTGCTGACGTTGATGTGCGGCATTCTCATCGTATGGGTGCGCACGAATATATTCCAATGACTTGAGGATCTGTGGTGGAATTGGTGGCGGAGTTGGCAAGTGATTGCCTTGCGGTTGGAATCCATTCTCATCGGCCAAATACGAAAGCTGAATCAGTTCACCTTCTGGCGAGTAATAAGAGAAACCACCACTAGCATGATGACCACCATAGCCCTCCTCTTGAGCGCTTATGCCATTCGAGGTTGAGTAATCCAGTTTATAGCTGCCATCTTGACTTAGTTGGTTGTTGTGTTTGAGCGTTTCTGCGTGGGCGCTTTGAGGATGCACCGCATGAGCGACGCAGGCCAACGAAGCGATGGTGGCAAAAAGGATCTGGGAAATTTTAGGAAAATACAATAAGTAACTTATTTTGATAGAGTTCTTGTGTTGTACAATTGATTGATACTTACGAATTTGTTCATTTTAAAGCTGTTTGATTGTATTTTTTGGGCAACTCTTCGGGGTGGAGTTGTTTGCTGTCGAAGACACTGGATTGATTTGATGTTGATTAGCTAAAATTGCACTAGTTTTATACGAGAGATCATTTGTCAACTGAAAGTCTGATTTAAAACGCTGTCAAGTTCGGCCTTTGTTATGTAGATACATCAGCGGGTAGAGGCTTCACTCACATTCACCAATTTTGGCTTAGAGGTTTGGTGCTGAAAACTTGGCTTTCAATTAGACAATTGACCCGCATCTACATATGTTTGTATGTATGAATTATTGCTCGAATAGGTGTGCGCTTGAATAGGTGTGGAAGTCGCCAAGCAAAATGTTAGTGCGCCTATTTATGGCATAAAGGAAATGCGGCCAAATAATCAGCGAATTTGGATGTCAATAAAGGAAATTAACAAATGAAAGAAACTTAAAACTAATTAAAATAAGCAACGAGTGGCTAGCTTCCTTTGTTCGGTGTTATTAGTTTTGGTTTTTTACGAAAAGACATACACTTTGCTACAAAAGTGTTCACACAGCGACACTGTTCAATTTATTTTCAATTAAATTTGCTGAGCAATGTATTTATGTAGGTAATTAAATCAGCCCTTTCAATATGAAGAAACATTTATCTTCCTTATATAGTCTTTATTTTCAAATCAATACTAATTTGTCATACTGTATTCAACACCAACGGAAGGAAATGATTTACATAAGTTTTGGAAATGTGGCAACTCTCTTATAAAATGCTTTCAAAATAATTGGGTGTAAATAAAGCTTACTTAAACCTCTCTCGTTTGACACACATACTGAAATATATAATTTATCAATTAAAGCGATTTTGAATTTCTAAACAGGTGGTAACCCTTCTTAAAAATATTTTCGAAATAAAGCTTTCTTAAACTTCTCTCGCTTCTTGCACGCATTAAAAAATTTTATTTAACTTGTTAATTAATTTTGTCTTGAATATTTGAACAGGTGGCAGCCCTTTTCGGAAATGTTTTCAAAATAAAGTTTTTTTAACCTCTCTCTTTTTTAATATTCGTATTAATATATTTGATTTAAGTGGTTAATTAAAATGATTTATACTGAATAGGTGGCAACTCGCTTCAAAACTATATTCCAAATAAATCGTTTTTGAGTACCGTTCGTTTAACACCCACATGCTGCAAAATTGTATTTAACGTATTAAATTATTGATTTTAACTTTTGAAAAAGGTGGCCGCTCTCTTCAAAAAGTATTCCATATGCTTGTACAGGATTTAAACTATCTGTGTGCCGTGTTTTTTATATGAAAAAAAAAACAACTTTTCATATAAATGGTATAGAATTTTTTAAAATCAATATTTTTCGATCGGAAAACTTTGCTTCTCTTCAGGAGATTTCCAATAATAATACCCAATCATTTATTTAACAATTTTTTCATAGAAACTATATTTTATTGGTCAGCCAAAATTGTTATTGGAAGTCTCCTGAAGAGAGCCAGAGGTTTGCGATCGAAAATTATTTTGTTTGATTTCAAAATAAAAAATAGGGACCACCCTAATGTACATGCACACATACATACATGCATGCATATGTATGTACCGCTCTCATAACAAGAGTTATCGCCCTGCTGAACACCATCGCTGAAGGTGTGGTTGCGTTTCTTTCTTACCGCTATTTTCGCATTTTAAATTATTCATAAACAAATGTCAAATAATTCGACTTCATAAATAGCAAAATAATTTGTAGGTATTCAAAATCACTAGCTAAAACAAAAGGGTGTCTCAAAAATTTTGCTTACTTTTTAGAGATGGATATTTGCGAAGCCATCTGTTTCTTTTAAATGCGCATTTAGATCTACTGGATGCTATGTCAATAATGTATGCTATATGTATAGATATGTTGCATAATATCCCGCAGACCTAAACAATGGATCGAATAATAAAATTACAGTAGCCACCTGGGATTCGGCCCGTTGTGGTACCTCCTTAAGCACCCTTCTGTACAAATCAGAATGTGGAGTAATCGTCTTATCTTTATGACCGGCAAATCGCTCAGGTTTCCAATGGCCTGCTACTTTTCAGTGCTGGACATTCGCAAAGTGGTTGCCTTACAAATTTTAAGTGTGTATAAGTGTGTCCCGGCACGGATACCAGGTGAAGAGTGAACTGCTCTGCCGTCCAGTTAAGCGATCTGCAGCAACTCACTACAGTTTCCAAGTTGCTAATAACTTTTACAAAAAAAAAATTGTAGGCCAAAATAAAAAATAAAAATTGGTGAAAAAATCATATTTTTTTCCCACATATTTAAAAGTAAGCAGAATTGGTATTACCAATCGCGAGAAAATAAATAGAAGCTGAACCTTTTCAAAAAAAGTTAATAGCTATGACTTCGTAAATATTTCGAATTTCGATAAATTGTCGAATATATATGTATTTC